TCAGATACACCCTAATTTCTTCTAGCATTGTCAATATTGGCTGCTCTCTTGCATTAAGTAATGTGCTATTAAAAGATTCAAATAGATTGTTTAATAGCATGTCACATCTAGTCCCTTCTTGGAAGTGTGATTTAGACCATTGAGAAGCCGGTTTTAACTCAAGCCACCCATATGCTGCTGGATCCAAATCCAGCATCATTTGCATGTGTTCTAACCATTTTAGAATTGTTGTTGCTCTTGCTACGTCCCATATATAATTTTTTAAAGCCAGGCTCTTATGAGTAGCACTAAAATTATTGTATAAGTGACGAACGCATGTTCTATGCTCTGCATGTTCAAAGAGTGATCCAATTGCATTTAAATTATCCTCTTACTTTGTTGCATACAAAATCCATGAGCATATTTGTTTACATTTAGCTCTCAACCTCTTAGCATCATTTTTCAAATATTTGATCTCCCTATTATGCCTCACTGAATGCTCAGTAATAGCATCTTTCAAAACCTTCTTTGACTTAAATATTTGCCCTGCGAATCCAAAAAAAGCAGTGTAAAAAATTTAGTTAGAAAACTAAAGCCAATAATTGTAGTTGTCATTACTTACCAATTTTGAATATTGGATCCTCCGTATCTGTCGTAGGATTGAATACTTCCCTCCTTATCCTTTTTCTAGAAGTGCCTGCATCATCATCATCATCACTATCCAAACTCCTTAGTTCATCCGAGTCACCATAATCTGTGTCTGAATCCATTACCTCCTGCTCATTTATAAGACCAAATCCAAAATCCATATTCATTTTTGTAGTATCAATTCCAGCATTATCAACAGGGTCTTCATCTATTTCACAGTCAGAATCGACAAGTACATTATCCAGTTCTACTCCTTGCTGCTCTTCATTTTGTACTTCATTTACACCTTCATTTTCCAATTCCTCTTCATTACACCATCATGTGATTCAATTGTATTATTGACATCAGAAGTAGGTACATTTTGTCCAAAATGGTATGTCATGGTTTCATACACTTGTGACCAAAGTGTATCTTGATTTGCATGGGAAAAACTATCATCCCAATGGTTTAGCTCATCTCTGCATTCAGTATCAGGCACATAAGATCCTTCTTTAATTGGATTAGACCTCCCACAACCTTCAATGTCAGCATAGTTATTTGGAGGTTGATCTGAAACATCATACTAGAAAATTCCAGCACAAACAACAAAGACAATATTAGTATGCTAGATTTAACTAAACTGGTAAATAAACATTTCATGTTCACTCAATTTAAAAACATGTAAATAAACATACATGACTTACCATACTAATGGTAAATAATTTTTTATTAAATTATAATAACTAATGCTATTAGCAGAAAAAGAAAAACCAAATATAAGTTGTGTAATAAATTAGTTTCATTCGAACTTAAATATACAATTAGGAGAACAATATTTCACTAGAGGGAACAAATGACTCAGTTTTAAAAAATTCACAAAGTAAAAGTACGATTAACAAAACAAAAACACCATAGCTATAGTCAGGACATAAGTTCATCGAATGTCCTAATTTAAAACTTATTAGCGACATTTCATTGCAGTTGCCGATGTCGGAATAACAGTGGGAAGGTGGTAGTTGAATGGCTTTAAAGGGCTGCTTCTTCTTTTTGGAAGATTTAGGAAAAGTGAGGTTTGGTGTGGTTTATTCAATTTGGGGATTTCGTTGGCCACGGTTAACTCTATGCAAAATTATGGGAAGTTGACCAATTTACCTTTTTCAAATATTATTGGCAAATTCAATTCAATTTTCAAACCGCTGATTTAAAGGAAGTGGATGGAAGGACCAATTCCGCAACAAACGTTTGAAATAAGGGTACAAATATCAAATTTAAAACGGTAGGAACCATTTTAGCAACGAATGTAAACGTTAGGGACCATTTTTGCTAATTACCCTAATAAAATAATATAAATCAAATATTATTTTACTAAAAAATATATATCAACTTGGCCCAAGCCCACGACCCACGACTTGTGACCCGTGACCGTGCTCGCATCGTGCCGAGCCCGCCTATCGGACGGACGGCGAGCGCGTGCAAACTTTAGCCCAACCTACTAGTATGTAGGTTCTCTCACATTCAAAGACTATTGGTACCCATTGGGACCCAAACCCAAGTCCTAAACTTGAGCAATATAAAGTGGTTTATATTTTTCTAACTTTCCTATGTGGGATTGTCACTTTTCTAATTTTTCACCAATTTTTATTTCAATTTATTTCAACTTTAAGTGGTCATCTTTTGACCTTAATTTCTCATTCACTTTAAATTGGTTTTGAGAAAATAAATACATTACATTAATTTATTCGTAGAGTAGAACACACTCAACCAAAGAAATATTTTGTCAAACTAACGGGACCCACGAAAATAATTGATCAAAAATTTGTCAAACCAACTAATAAAATCCAATTTTCCAACATAAATTTCATTTGCGACACTGAACTTTAAGTGAAATCTCAATTAGGCCATTAAACATCAATTTGTCTATAATTGATCATTGAACTTCAATATACTTTTAAATTGAGTCACTAAGTAAAATTATTAGTTTCAAATTTCAACATTTTGTCACATTTTGTCTTTCAATTTGATGAAAATTGCTTAATTGACAGCCTGCAATGAATCTTCCAATAATCACATCGTGACGTGCTGAGTTACCATTACATCATATCTTAAAAGAAATAAAAAGGGTATTTTATCTTTTTAACTTAAAGATATTATCATCACCCTCGATTTACTATTTTTGTTTATAGTGTGTCACATAGAGATTATGTAGAAGTTCAATTATAATATAACCATCAACTAAGTATTTTTTGTTAATTTGAAAGACAATAGACCCTTGTTTGAGTCCCATTTTGAAGGGGGAAAAAAAATATTTTGGAATAATGATTATTTTGGAGAATGTGTGATTAAAAAAATGTACGTGTAATATTATTTTATTGAAAAACATGTGATTGAAAATGAGTTTGGAAAAATGAAATTTTGTAAAAATAGGGCCCAAATAAGGGCTAGATGATAGAATATGATAGTGGTAAAATTTTAAACAATTGAAGTTTAGTAGCCAAATTGACTGTTAATGAAATTTACCCTCTAAAGTAAGGAAGTTCAACCCGTGCTATCAAAGTTTTGGGAGGTCCATAGTTATGGTACTGTAATCCTACCTTTAGGTTACTAAATTTTAATTTATTTCAATTAGGTTAGTATACTTTAATTCAATTCACTTAGGTAATTAAATCTCGATTTAGTTTCAAATTTTACCACTCCGTCACCGACAATCTTTAAATTGATGAAAGTTACTTAATTAGCAACCATAGTGCAATGACCTTTTACGTGATCGCTAAATGTCATGTCAATTTATTTCCACGTTACGTTATAAAAGTATTAAAAAAATTCTTTTAATATAAAGATATCGTCTTACTCTCACTTCACATTTTTTTTCAATGTTAAATGATCGTAATGGCTACATGGAAGATCATTTATTATATCTTTCAAATTAAGCAATTTCAGTCAAAATTTGAAATAAAATGAAGTTCAATAAATCTCTCTTTCACAACAACTATTTTTAAATTCTTTTTTTATATACTTATTTTCAATAACATCTATACAATAAAATATTCTGCACGTAAATCTAAATTTTTTCCCTATATTTTAATAACACATTTTTCTATAAATCACTATTCAAAAACATGATTTTTCCCATTGAATAGTTGTCAAACAGGGGCTAACCTGTTTGAGATAAATTAAAATTTAATAATCAAATTGAAATTTCATTAAAAGTTCAATGATTGCAGATGAAATTTACCGAATAAAGTAGGGAGGTTCAATCCAAACCATCAAAATTTTAGGGGTTGAAAACCCACAATTTTATAGTTTCGAGCCCCCTCACCCCAACCCAAACATTTTCCAATCCACCGTCCACAACCCTCAATCTACATACCTCACCAACCACCATCTACCTCGTAAACTCCGTCCTGTCGAATTCCTCCCACAACCCATTCATTGTATGCACCGTTCTCCATGCCGATATGCACCATCACCACCACCGCCAATGAACGGACCCACCATCCGCTACCTTTCTGCTCCTAAAAATAAGCCAAAACTACCGTCCTTAACGGCCATTCTCCTAACGGCATCACCACGCAACCAAATATTCTTCAGACATGAAGAAATCATTATCTTCCTCTGCTAAAAACCTTTGTTCTTGCCTTTGTAATGCTCATTTCTTGAAATGGAGGGCCGGGGATATATGGAGTGTGGCGAAGGAAGTTCAACCCGTGCTATCAAAATTTTGAGAGGTCCATAGTTATGGTACTGTAATCCTACCTTTAGGTTACTAAATTTTAATTTATGTCAATTTGGTTAGTATACTTTAATTCAATTCACAGTCTTTAAATTGATGAAAGTTACTTAATTAGCAACCATAGTGCAATGACTTAATTACCACGTTACGTTATAAAAGTATTAAAAAAAAAAATTTCCTACATTTTAAGAACACATTTTTCTAAAAATCACTATTCAAAACATGATTTTTCCCATTTAATAGTTGCCAAACAAGGACTAACCTGTTTTAGTTAAAATTTAATAATCCAACTGAAACTTCATTAAAAGTTCAATGACTGCAGATGAAATTTACCATCAAAGTTTTAGGGGCTGAAAACCCACAATTTTATAGTTTGGAGCTTCCTCACCCCAACCCAAACATTTTCCAATCCACCGTCCACAACCCTCAATCTACATACCTCACCAACCACCATCTACCTCGTAAACTCCGTCCTATCGAATTCTTCCCACAACCCATTCATTGTATGCACCATTCTTCATGCCGATATGAACCATCACTACCACCGCCAATGAACGGACCCACCATCCGCCACCTTTCTGCTCCTAAAAATAAGCCAAAATTACCGTCCATTAACGGCCATCCTCCTAACGGCATAACCACAAAACAAAAATATTCTTCAGACATGAAGAAATCATCATCTTCCTCTGCTAAAAACCTTTGTTCTTGCCTTTGTAATGCTCATTTCTTGAAATGGAGGGCCGGGGATATATGGAGTGTGGCGTGGCACCACCCTGTACCCTGCGTCTTCGCCGCCTCGTTGCTTTTTTTCATGATGGTTGAGTACACTCTCCACATGCTGCCACCCACCGCGCCACCGTTTGATCTTGGGTTCATCGCCACCACAACCCTCCACCGGTTACTCGAATCTCGACCCGCACTCAACACAATTCTTGCTGGCCTCAATACGGTATATGTGTACACATAATCTACCAGCGCATGTTTGGTTACTTCGATAAAGTTTTTTTTTTTAGATTATAAGCAGTGAATTTTATGAAATGCCAATTAGCTTATAAACTTGTTTGAGTTACATCCTTTAAAACTTCGTGGAAGAAAGATCCTCTTCGATTCACATTCTTTAAAACTTAATTTTTTTTCAAGATAATTTTCTAATATTTCATGTAAATCTAAAATTTTTTTATACTTTTTAATCACACGTTCTTTATGAAAATCACTTTTTACAACAAAAATTATTTTGAAAAAAGATGAGAATCAAACATGGCTAGCTAAGTTTACACACGACTAAGTCAAAAGCAATGTAAATTCTACATTTTTTTGTCCGTTAGTAATTATTTACTGACACTTTTTTAAAGTCAAAAGTATGTTAGGTTTTGATATAGACATGTTAAAATAGTTCCTTTGCATATTGGTTACTTGCATTTAAGGATTTATTTTTCGTATATACATTTTTATTTTTTAAAAAATATTTTTTGTTGTAAAGTTCTTTTTGTTGAATTATACATAATTATTTAAATTTATTTGTTCTTTATGGACCATATATATATAGGTTTTCGTAGTAATGCAAACGACGTACATACTATGGACATGGCTAATGGAGGGTCGACCAAGGGCGATGATCTCAGCTTTGTTCATGTTCACTTGTAGAGGAATGCTTGGATATGCCACACAGCTGCCATTGCCCGAGGTTCAGTTTATCTTCTTATATAGGAATTTTGCATTCGAATTCGATAATTCAAAATATGAATTGGAAATGGGTTGTAGATTGGTGTGTTTGAAGTCGAAAAATAATAAAAATGTTCAACATGCAAGTCTAGGGTAATCGGTAAAATGTACGTATAAGCAAAAAATACCGTTTTACAGATATTTCGTTGTTAAAAGTGAAATTTTGTGTAGTACGTACCTCAGTTTATTTCTTTGCATAGGATTAGTAGTAACACCTAACAAATTTCTTGAAAGATTGAAATTGTCCTTAAAAAATCCAACATCTTGAGGATAAATGGGTAGTTTATAATTAATTCTAATAAAACATTTTTATAAACACTCACCTTCCCATGTTTGTTGACTAATTATATTAGTTTTATCTGCTGAACATGTCATCATAAGTAGGTTTGAAGAAACAAAAAGAAATGAGAAAATAGACTACGGTTTTTTTTTTTTTTGAAAAAATTGAGTTTTGTAATAGTGATTTTTAGAGAATATATTGTTAAAAAGTAATTTTAGATTTACGGGTAAAATTATTTTATTAAAAGAATTACCAACTTGACCCTTAGCCCAAGTATTATATTTGCTTATTTACTAAAATTGCCCTTTGGATGGGAATGATGGATTGTTAGTATGAACAATTTAGAAAGATCTAACTATTTACAATAGCTACAATGTTTGAAAAACTGAAATAATATTTGTAGTTTTGCATGTTTCTTGACAGGGATTTTTGGGTTCCGGTGCAGATTTTCCGGTTGGAAATGTTTCGTTTTTCTTGTTTTATTCGGGGCATGTAGCTGCATCGGTTATTGCATCTCTAGACATGAAACGAATGCAAAGATGGGAATTGGCTTATACATTTGACATTCTAAATGTTTTACAAGTGATAAGATTGTTGAGTACGAGAGGTCACTACACGATTGATCTGGCTGTTGGCATTGGCGCCGGAATATTATTCGATTCCCTGGCTGGAAAGTATGAAGATAGCAAGAAAAAAGAGAAGTGTCATTAGTCACTAGTGCCACCACACATGGTGCATCCAATTCCAAGAGCTCAGATCGAATAAGTATATCACTCTCCCAAGTAACTGTTGGAGATATTACACCGATAATGTGCTTATTATATTAATCAAGAACATACCATGAAATCGAAATATCATTCGATTTACCGAAATCTGATTTAAGAAGACAAAATAGTGATTACCGACTTCCAATATATGAATATGGATTCATCACTTTCCAATTTTTAACGCGTGTCATTCTTTAATTCAAACCTTGCATGAAATCAAAAGAATATTAGTTACTTTCCGAAATCAAAATATTAAATTAGAATGAAATC